TATTTTCGGGTGCCCCAATAATCGAAATAATTGAAATAATTAATTGGGCTTGATTTAATTATTTCAATCATTATAATTATTTTAATAATTTACATATAGAGTAGGATAACCCAGGCGTCAAATAGACCCTAAAGGAGCCTCTCTCATATATATATATATATAGGTACATACACATATACATACATGCATACATACATACATACATACATACATACATATATATATATAGATATATTCATATATATATATACATGTATGATCCCGGTTCTCGGTTCACCAACAGTCAGTAAGAGTCAGTAAGTATGTAAGAAACTACTGGAATGTACGCAAGTAAGTGAGTAAGTGAGTGAGTGAGTAAGTAAGTCAGTAAGTAAACAAGTACAGTAATTCAGCATGCAAGCAAGCATGCAAGCAAGCAAGCAAGTGCTCACACATTACATCATGCACTTGTCTGCATTGGCTTGCTATACTTACTCACTTACTCCATCTTCTTGCAGATGTCTGCTAATGCGAGGCACGGATCAGCCTTCCCGCAACATACGCGCCGCAGCTGCACCACCACCAGCCACCTGGCCCTGACGCATGGAGAGGGGGCTAGATCACCGGCGAAATAAAAAAGATCAGTTGTTCTGCCCTCAACATCAGGTCACAGAAGGAAAACGAGGAGGCCTGGGACCGCAAAGCATTCTCAAGCTCCTCGTCTGAGTCGTCTGCCAGCATGAGCCGCTCGATTTCCGCATCCAAGTGCCCTTGCCGGCTGTGGCCCGGGGATCCTCCGCCAGCGTCTTTGGCCAACTTCGGCTGACGCGATCCGTGGCCCGGGATTCCGAGGTGTGGCTGGCCGGCCTGGGGGGTCCAGTGCCCTGCCAGCCATTCTTTGAAGCTGGCCGGGGCGGGCACGTCACCCGCTCGGCCGTTCTCCTCAAGCATGCGAGCCAGGCTGTTGTTGAAATCGACAGTTTGCTGGTGGACACCGCCCAACGTCTGGCGGCTGCTCTCGAGAGCTGCTCTGCCTCCTGAATCCGCCCGGCTTCCTTCAACAGGACTCCCATCTCATGCATACTTTCCAGTGTATCAGGGTGACCTCGCCCCATCTTCTCACGTCGCCCCTTCAGTGCCTGGCTGCACAGCTTCTCTGCCTCACTTCGCTCACCCTGCTGGTGCAAGGCACAGGCCAAAGAGTGCATGGCACCCAAGCTGTCCGGATGCGTCGCTCCCAACTTCTCAAGCGTTTGCTGAAGATTCCGGCGTAAAGCATGGGGAGAAGCCAGGGCCCCTGTCCCAGGCTTTTCTTCGGAAAGTGGGCCGCCACTCATGTGATAAAGCATGTCAGCCTCATGGAAATCGCCCTTCTCCTTCAACACTGCCGCCAGATCGCGCATGCCCTGCCGGGTTACATCGTGTTCTGGGCCGTGCTCTGCAAGAGCCGCCTTCAGTTTGCCACGCGCACGTTGCTCGCGTGTACGCAGATCGTCGCCTGTTGGGGCTGCCATCGCTTTTTCCTTCTTGCCACGGAGCAATGCGGCCTCATCATGCTTGCCCATGTCCTGCAGCAATGCAGCGAGGGCCGTCTTGCAGCAGAGAGTGTCGGGATGGTCGTCTCCAAGCTCTTGTCGGAGACCCCTCAGGGCCTTCCGGAAGAAGGGCTCTGCATCATAAAGCTTTCCCTGCTGGTGCATCAACCCGGCTAAGGCCGCCAAGCTCTTGTGTGTTTCGGTCTCCGGGCCAGCTTCGCCTTCTCTACGCATCGCATAGAGCTGGGTGAGGAGGGGCTCTGCCTCCGAATATTTACCGCGCCCCTGGTACCTGGAAGCCAGCTCGCCCATACACCGCAGGGTCTTCTCGTCCTTCGGACCCCGTTTCCAAAGAAGCTCCAGGCGCTTCTCCAAGACATCTGCCAGGGCATCAGACTTCATCTGAGCATGCTGCACCGAGCCCCGGTGGTCTGTGATTTGAACCACCCAGACATCCCTGTTTTCATGTACCTTCCGACCCTTGATGTCTTCGCCCAGATTCAGAGGCCGTCCCTCGATGCGAATCTGGGCCATGTCAGGCGTGTGCCTCTCGAAGATATTGTGTGCAAGCTTCTTTGGGACTATCAGCGGCACACAGAAACCGGCCCGGTGGCCATGACAGTTGCCCTGGCCCCACTCTTGGTTCCTCTTCTCGCCGTCCTCATCGAAGGGATCCGCGCGCAGTGGGTCCAGATTGCTGTAGTTGTTTAGCAGGGCGCGTATCCTCTCCCGCCACACGGTAGGCTCATACTGCGTGGTGTAGACCCCCTGGGCACAGGAACCGCTATACACTTCTCGAGACGAGGGGACGAATCTGCGAGATTTGCCAGAGCCTTGCCGAAGTGGGCACGCTCAGCAACAAGCGAAGCAAACAGCTCCGCCGCAGACTGCCTGACGGCAGCCAGTTTCACGGGGGGAGCAATCTCATAGTTTTGAATGTGGGGTGCCGGGGGCATGGTCTACATAGAGTAGGGCGCAGATCTACTCTGCTCTCCAAGACCTGCTTAGAGCCCAACCTCATGTTGCCCACGTTTTGGAATCCAAGCTCGTTGGTGTAGTGGTACAGAATGATGACACCATCGGCCGCAGGCGCGAGATCTTGCAAATTGAAGGCATGTTGCCAAGTTTGTATGGTGCCATCTGGTCCGTCGTATCGGAATGTCGGTATGTCGTTCACTGCATCCTCCTTGTAGTACCTACCTGATCAGGAGTCACGACTGCCGCAAAGCAAAGGGAATCACCTCCCATGTTTAGTCGAGCTTCCTTCGTAGAGCTCACCCTTGAGGTACTGGCCGGAAAAGTAGGCCGACAGCTCACTGTTTTCAGTGCAAAGCCGCGGTGTGGCCATGGCAGTCAGGAATCGGATCCCCGTTAAGAAGGGGCCTTTATACTATCACTACAGCAATGCTACAGTTATACCGTTCTGCTGTATCATATTGTACTATCACCCTACCTACGAAATCATGACCCCCTGCTTCGACATGGGAGCTCCAGGGGAGGATCCGTGGCCCGAGCCAAGCTTGAAGCTCCTCCACGACTCAGCAACGCGACTCGGATCCCAAGTTGCAAAAAACGCTGCAAGCGTCTGCTCCGCACCTCGCTTTTTCAGCTCCATCTCTGTTTTCTGGCTGATAGTCTGTCAATCAAGAACCTGCTTCAGAAGCAAGGGTCGAAGGTGCAGGGGCTAAGGGCCTCTGCCGCTCATTCATTCCCCTTGTCATCAAAAGCCCACACGAGACTTTCAGAATCGTGTTTTAGAACGGGCTCGGTTTGCGATTCTTCAGGTACCTGGGCAATCATCGAAACAGATTCGGCCACATCATTGGACACGTGCTGCTGACTCCGACGTACTGCCTCTCGCATCATGTCTTTTTTGTGATTGCTGCTTCCAAGTGTCTCCTGCAGCTGAGGAAGAGCATCGACAGCTTCCAGTGCGGCTTTGATCTTCGGGCTGTCCTGCACTTAAGGCTGGCTGCAACGTCCCCTCGCTCTGGCACTGCGCAGTCGTATTGAATCGGTGGAGCGAGCACTCTGGGTGTTGCTATCATGATCACCCTTGCTCTTGCCAGGCCTAGATCGGAAACAAGCCCTCAACCCCACGTCTTCAACAGGCCCTAAACCCAACCCTGAAACCGCAAACCCCCAACCGCCAAGCCCGGCCCAAGGCTTAAAAAAAACCCAAAAAACCCACCTAAATCTAGGTAAAAGCTACTCTAAAACAGGCCCTTGAACCTCAATCCTGGCACCTCAATCAACCCTCCATCCTGGCCCTGGAGGCAGCATTGGAGCAAACCCCTGAACCTATAACCCAACAGAAGCCTAAACCGCGGTTTAGGGTTTAGGGGTTTAGGGTTGCAAGGGTTTAGGGTTTAGGGTATCCTGCATAAACCCCCAAGCCCTACATCCTCCACAAATCCTAGAACCTAAATCTTACACAAACCCCAAACCCAAACCCCACATCCTACGTCAACTCTCGACCCTGCTTCCTAAATGAAGCCTAAACCCTCTACACCCTACATCCTACGACACATAAACCCCAAGCCCCTACAGTCTACATTCTACTTAAACCCTCGACCCCGCATCCCCCACAAACCCTGAAACCACCAACTCCCGAAGCCCGAAGCTCTAATTAAAGGAAAGTTACAGGTGGGGAGTTCAGGGTGCATAGGGCTCCTATAAGGCTTCTATAAGGTAGATAGACCTTCTATAAGGCTCCTATGATTTTTAACTACCCACCTGAAAATGTCTTAGCTCTACATCCGAAGCCCTGAGCTTCAAGCCCTCAGTCCTATGCACACCCGCGAAAAACCCTCAGCGCGGAAAACCCTAAGCCCCTAAGCCCCTAAACCCCTAAACCCGAACCCTGAAGCCCTAAACCCTAAGCCCCCAAACCCTAGACCCCTGAGCCCTAAACCCTAAACCCCCAAACCCTAAACTCCAAGGCCCAAAGCCCCAAGTCCTGGAAAGAAGCCTTGGCTCCCTCCGTGTTATCAAAGAATCCTCGGTCTTTGGGCAGCGCCATGCAACGGAACTCCCCCCCCCCCCCACCCCCAAGTTGCGCAGTAGGTTTGGGGGCCATTTGCGGTTGGAGATGGGGATTTCGGGATTAGGGGTTAAGGGGGTGTTGGGTTGAAGGTCTTTCTTGGATTGTCCCTTCCTGCTCCTGGGTCATAGGTGTGAAGGTTTGCTTTGAGGCCGTTGGGCTGCGCATTAAGTCGGGCGGCTGCAGAGAGCCTCCTTGCAGGGTTTAGGGTTTCGGGTTTAGGGTAACCTAGTGCAGTATGACATAGTCTGTTGTGTTTGGAGGGCGGGGGGGGTAGGCAGGGTGCGACTCAGTGTGTTCAAGGCCATCGTGTATGTAATGATACCTCGAAAAATGAAAAGGATTCAGAATACTGTTCGCCATCCAATGAGAAGACTCACAGGAAGAAAACAAGATCACTTGTGGCAATCGCAACGGTCAACACTCGCGAGACTGTACAGCTAACGGTGAAGATACCTGTTACCAGGATAACCATAAAGGTGTTGTAGCACAGACAACTGATCAACCGTGGTATTAATTATTAATGATTCGCATAACCCCAGACCATCATTGTTACAAACTCTTGGACGCCACCCTCTTCAAACAACTCTTCCAGAGCTGTGCTTACCATCCCAAAACCCTAAACCCTAAACCCAACACCCTAAACCCGATTCCAAGCTGCCTCCCGGTGCCAGGAGGAGGGTGTAGAAGAGCAGGTCCGCAGCAGAGACTTTGCCCCCGACCATGAACCTTAGGATGAGAGGCTTTAGGGCCCCACTCCGTGCAGTCTGCAGGAGCCCCCGCGCCACACACTCTGCACAGCCACCCGTCGGCTTTCGATCCCTCCTCTCTTTCGTTACTCCCAGCTCTTCTTGATGCTGCTATGAACTTTCGCTGTCGCCTCTCAAGCAGTGCTCTCAGTAGTTCCCTGTCTTCACCGAGGGACGGCCCCGGGCCGGCAGGGAGAGACTTCTCGGCCAGCTTCACCCAATTGGGAAGATCTTCGGCGAACCATTTCTCCATGCCCTGAGACACTGGGTTGAGGGGCCCCTTCAAGGACTTAAGGGCCCTTTTAAGGGATCTATCAGGGTACTATACGGGTTTATGGGTCCCTTTAAAGGATCTGTATTATGGCACAGAAGGACAAGCACCAAAAAGGCGGAGTTCGGGTGCCAGAAGTCTGAGAGGTCGCACCTGTATTCCAACGTACGATCGTTCTCTTCTTGCTCATATTCTGCATGATGCACATTCATAAGTTGTGGCCATACACTACATCCACGATGCAGCCGCCAGTACAGACATACATGCAGACATACGGGTACACCGGCGAAGCGGCTTACTCAGTACTTGCTCGGGTCATCAAGGCTCAACAGGCAAGCCAACGCAAGCCATTCTGGCCGTGCCTTCTTCTTTGCCGCCTCGTCTTGGACTCCGCGAACCTAGGAAATACCGGGTCAAGGTATTTGTCTCGATGCAAGGAGATCTGGCTTGCATTTACAATTTGGGATACAGCAATCAGAGTCTCTGCAGGCGACCTTCTGGTAGGCATCCTTGATGTCACGGACGGTCTCACCAAGCTGGTCGACCTATCCGTCACACCATGCCGGACAGAAGAGCTCCCAGCCCCGGTGAGGATACTAGCACGGGTACGACATCGTTTATTATTGCGGGAAAACAATGGCACCAGCAGTCATGAAAATATCGATACAATCAATACACCCGCAGTGGAAGGAAGAAGCGGGTAGCAGGAGTTACGGCCGTAGAGGCACTAGTCAGTATTATTAACAGTGCTCGTCGTCCTTCTTCTCCTCCTCGTCCTCGTCGGTGCCATCCTCGTCGCTGTCGTCGCCGTCGTAGCAATCGTCGTCGTCGTCGTATCAGTAGTACTAGCAGTAGCAACTTCGTAGTAGTCGTCGTCGTCGTAGCAATAGTAGTACAAGCGTCGGGTGTATCTCACATCGGTCGGCGAGAATAC